AGGCAACTCTCCCCCATATTTTTCTTTTTCCATTTTCTTCATCTTCTCCTTATATAGTTTTTTCATCAAGGAAACTTCTGCAAGACAATCTGTAGCTATATCCATGACTCCGAAAAAAACCCTAATGTACCAAGTTGAGGGGTTGATGATGATAAGTTTGGGGAGGCTCTGTGAGGCATGTGAGTGATATGTACAGCTGGTTGTATTGTATGGGCTTGGTTAGTAGGTAACGAATGGCTTAAAAGCTTTTGGCCTTTTCCAATGGAGGCCATTAATGGTGGCTTATAGCTTTGAAAACGAAAGACTTCAAAATTAAGTGGGGGAGGTATTCACTGGTGCTTTCCCTTTTGGGGAAACGTTATTACACTTAAAAATGACGGATGTGGATGACGCATGATATAATGCGTCAAAGGCTTTGGCATGGGGTTAGACATTCGACTACTTAAATATAAATTATGAATATTATGGGTTAAATCGGCACAATTAGAAGATTGAATAGTTCTGAGAGAGATGTTGATAGTTGTTAGATAAATTTATTTGAGACCATTGGATAAACTTTTTAACATTTGTCTAATTTTCTATTATAGATTAGCACTTTCACCATGGATAATTTTTAGTGTAAGGAGTAATTGTTGGCATTCCTCCTTGGGGTACATTAAGCATATTCGGCTAGGTTGGGTATATTCCGCCAAACCCTTGTCTTTTTCGTCCATTAAGTGAGTCCCACTTTATCACACTGAATAATTAATAAAAAAAAAATGAGTCCATTATTTATCTCTATGACCAAAAAAAAAAAATTTAATAAAAAAGTTGTTCCATTATATGGGATTGACTACACCAATTTTATTTTCACCGTCTCCTCTTTTAGGCCATAGGTTATAAATTAGATTTTCATTTGAATAAAAAAAACATGTAGAATAATTATAGAAAATTATAGGGTAGGTTTGGTTTGTATATATAAAACAGTTTTTTTATTGTCAAAACTCTAAAAATAAGAGAGATACTGTTTGATTAGTTTTTTTATTCTCTAATTTTTTATAATTTTTGGAATTGAAGTGTGATTTTAGAGAATAACAAATTGGTATTCTCACGATTTTCTAAAGCAAAATGAAAACACGGGAAACATCCTCATCTCCAAATTAATGAGGTTTCTCTTTTGAGTTTTGTTGGAGATAAAAAAATGGTGACCGTAACTTTTTCTTTCCACTACTCTCATTGAGCTTTCTCTCTCTTTTGTAACTTTCCGCCCCCTCTAACCTAGCTTCAGATCTGTGTATGCGTTTGAGTAAGTGTGTGCTCGTGAGTGAGTGTATATACACAAATTGAGAACATTTATAGCTTCTGTCTGTATGTGCGCGCGCGCGCACGCAACAAATCTGTATATATATATATATATATATATATATATAGATCTACGTGTGTGGGGGAGTTTTGTGTGGGTTTGTGTATATTTTTGTTGTATGGGAAGATAATGTAGAGAGAGAAGCTCTAGATGTGATTGGAGAGAGAAGAAATTTGAAGTGATAACTTTTTTTTTTTGGCTAGGAGTGATAAGTTAAAAATTGGTTTTGTTTTGTAATATAAAAATATCAAAAAATATTTTCTTAAAATGTTTATTACAAATTATTTTCAAATATTATTTTTAAAGACGCAAATCAAACATGCCTATAATTTTTTAAGTTCAAATTATAGGTTTTTAGGGTTTAAGTTACAATAAATGTGATACGAACACGATTAAATAGCGCATATACAAGACACTAAGTGGCTGTTTATTTTGAGTATTAGATTTGGGTGGTATTAGAAATTATTTGCATTTTACTCTTATTCAATGGTATATTATATCAAATCTTAAACTATAATTTTATCATTTCCCTTGTTTGTTTGTTACAAATATTATCTGTGTAATACCTACTTAAAAAAGTCAACAATTGCAACTATGAGTGATAAAAAGACAATTATAACCTTATAACCTTAAAAAGACAATTGTATATGAGGGCATTTGTGTTATTTTAGTCTCTTATACCGTCATTTTATTTGTACCGGAAAGATAATACCACCTAATAGGTGGTATTCAATAGCACCGTATATAAGACATTTAAGTCACTGTTCATGCCAGGTCAGTATTACGATCCAAAAAATAGTATCAATGATAAAATATCAAACAAACAAAGTATAAGATGAACCTTAGATGCTATTTCTCTAATACCACCCATTTGTACCACTCTAATACTTCAAACAAACAGCGCTGATATCAATTGAACAGTTTTTAACATGACACGAAGCCCACGACAGAACTTGTTGTTAGCGCTATTGTGTCGTTATCCTTTAGCCTCATCGTTTGCTTAGCAAACAAGGGAACAGGGTAATGTGTATTCAGTATTATCCTGCGTTTGGTTGAATTTATAACGCTAAGATTAGGCTCGTTGTGAAAGGTCAGTTTACCTGAAATGTATTTTTTTAGGAAGTAGTTTACTGTTATTTCGATCTTTGACATAATTTACAGATTTAATGATATAATTTCAGTTGAATCATTGGATCAATATTAAGTTCTAATATTTGATGAGACTTATAATTAATTCAAATACTATAATAAATTAGGTTTCAATAACATTTGATTTTACTTGAATTTGAATACTACTATGTGCATTAAAAATAATTGTGTTTATCCCTGAAAGCCACCAAGAGTCACCCTGGACTTTATTATTACACTACTTTATTCATTAATTTGCTGACATAACAATATGATTTTAGCAGAATTATTGGATCAACACTAAATTTTAATATTTGATGGACCTCACAGTCAATTCAAATCTCACAGTGAATTAGGTCAATAAATTAAATCAGTAAAATAGGTTCCAAAAGCATTACTCATAGTCTATAAGTAATACTATTTGAACCTAAAAATTTGATCTAATTTACTGACATAATGATGTGGTTTCAGCAAAATCGTTGGATCAACACCAAGTTCCAATATTTGATGGACTCTGCAATAAATTTAAAAGTCACAATGAATTATGTCGCAATAGCATTACTTATAGACTATAAGTGGTCTAAACTCTAAAGTCTAATTCTTCAAGTAAGGGAATCGACTCGATCCGTCCCTTCTTGCCGAATGTTTATCATTACATTACTTTTAAATTAAATCTCAATTATGACTTGACGATCAAATTATAAAAATAGTTTCCCGATATGTTTTTTTCTTAATGAACAAACATAATGGAATATATAAAAATTTTGAACATAGTTTATCAAATATTATACTGTAGCCGCAAGAATCCAAGAAGACCACGAATTATCTAAGTCCAAACCTCACTTTTGCTAGATCTAATACATCGTTTTCTTTCCTATCTTGATATAAACCTTAGGAAGGGTAGCTACATCTTTAAGGTATTGGATTCCAGTAGTTACATCCAACTCCCAACAACAAACAAACCATTTTTGGCTTTACAACTGCAACGCCTACGGTTGTTGATGAGCTTTCTTTCATTTATATGGTAATGCGGTGATTACAAAATTCCGTTGCACTAATGTGGATCATAAGCAAGAAAGAGAATCGCTTTGATAGAGACTCCCAGGTATGTATCTGGTCAACAACCTACGAGCTAAACCGAGCTATCCTGCAACGAACCAAGTGGCACCACTATCTGTCCAACCAGGAGAAAATCGCTGTGAAAATCTGCACTCCTTTGATCAACCACAGCAGGTACTTGATTCGATGATTCAACCTCCTAGAGAGCAAGAAGACAATGAAAAAGAGGTAAAAAAAGCCAACAGGAAGAGCGCCATAGGAAGAAGCCATCATACCAATAATAGAAGGATTGTGAGGCTAATAGGCCCGCTCGGCGCCTCCCCCGATTGCTTGAAGATGCGCGCGCGATACGAACGATAGAGGCCCCTGGAAGAAACCAATGAAAAGCCAGGGTAGAGCCTAGAAGCCGGACCAAGCGAAGATCGGCACTCGAAGGCTTGAGAGCAGTCCGAAAAAAGAAAAGCTGTGAAGACGGTAGACTCGCCAATCAGGCACACCGTGAGACTGACTACAGCAGACCGGGAGATTACAATTCCTGTTTCAAAAGAACCTAGTTTCTTCATGTGTTCGGATAAGGTTATACATACTAAAAATCCCTTGATTTTGAAAAAAAAAAATACTTGTGTATTATGTTGTCCTTTGTAATACATGTGTGCGCGTAAACTTGCTGTGAACAATTGATAAAAAAAATTAAAAAAAAAACACAGTGGCATCCCCTATGTTCTAATGACATTACAGAAGCTTCCTAATATTCTAGAATTGAAATATAAATGCCCATAAATTTCATATTAAAAAAGCCCAACTCCATAACTTGATACTAACAGATATTATGCCCTAAATTTATCTTTTACTCCCGATTTGGTCACTTGTCAAAAATTTTTAACATGAGCAAAGAAGAGAAAAATCGTTATTTTCTTGTCCTAAATTCTGAAAGGACCTTTGTATTATTCTTTTTTTTTTCAAAGGTGTAAATCAATTTATGCATATCTCGATTAATCATTTCTTTGATTTCGTTAAAGACAGGTCATCCATGCTGAAATTAGGATATTCATGAGGGATAAATTTCTCATAACTTGACCATAAGAGATTGTGAAAATACGAACTCAAGACAAATGAATTTATAGTTCGTCACTTGAGCTATTCCTTAGAATTGTGCTATTTCTTAAATGCCGAGGAATCATCTTGTTATTTGGTCACAATCCAAAGGATATCAATGTAATTATCCAAAAAAACTCAACTACTCCAACCCCCCTCTCCAACCCCAATACTTCTACAAGATTCTAAAAAACAAACGAAATGAATCAAACATCATGATAATTCATAAATTTTTGTAAAACTTCACATCAAAAATTATATTAGCCTCCACGAAGACTTTTCCTTACAATCACAAACATACATATTTTTCAGCCTTGGCAATGAATCATGACGTCATTAACTTGGGCTGTCTCACCACAAACCCATTTGATCCCCCCTATTTAGCAGCTTCCCCAGCCGAATCCAAGGAGGGCATGCTTGCCGGATGGATCTTCTTAAACATCATCGAAAAGCAACCATCAGATGTAACACTCTTTCGTTCCCTGGCACAAGCATAAGCTTCTTTCTGAGCTTTTTCGGTCTCCATTCTCTTCATCTTCTCTTTATAGAGCTTGTTCATCACATAAACTTCTGCAAGACCAGCACTAGCCGTCGACATAGCTCAGAATAGCAAAATCAAATATTGGAATTGGATTTTCTTATGAAGAATAGGTGGAGACGGGAGAGGCCTTAATGTGGTATTAATAGATAGAGAAAATTACGTTTTATAGGATTTGAGGGTAATTTTCCCTAATAGATATTGTGAAGGCTTGGCCAGCACGCAATGGAATGATATGATGGATAATTTAATTAAAGTTTCTGGGTGGTGTCTTTCTTGGTGGTTTCCAGGTCTGAAAACAACGGAGATGAAGCGGGGGACATAATCAAGTGGTTGTCATTGTAGGATATCCTCTATTTTTTCTTGGGGATTAAGTAAAAATTGATTAGTACTCATGTGGTCCCTTTGTTTGGATTCTAAGGATTATGACTTTTTCCTTGAGGAGAAAGGAAGATATTCTTTGGAAACGTCACCCAAGACGTTGTGCTCTTGTTTTTTAGCCTTTGGCGGCACTCACTTCGTGTTTGTGCAGTTGGATCCTGTCAATTTCAAAATTCGGTGAATTGTCGGGATTAGTTCGGATGATCATACTTCTTCACCTTGCTAAATGGCCTAGAGGCAAGACTTGACTTCTGTGGTAGGATTGAGACATATTATACTTGCTGTTTCGAAGACGTGTGAATTTGATCTCATGGTCATCCCCTTTTTCCTAGCAATATATGCCACATATATCTTTGAACAATACCAAAGACGAAATTTTGTTATTTACATTTAAGCAAGACTCTCAGAATTGAAACCACTTTGAGTCCAAAAAATATATTCACACTATCAAAAAGTTAGGATACTAATCTTAAAGATAGTTTAAGTGGTAATAAATATAAATTGTAAATATGTTTGAACATAAGATATAAAATTATGAAAGCATTTGATGAATGTGTAATTGGCAAGCCTAAAATCATTAAAGAATTGTCACGTATCAAGATTTGAATAAAAAGCGGGAAGCAACCAACCATAACTCTAGTTTGAAAGAAAAAATAATTACCTGAGAATTACGAAATCAAATAACCGCTGATAAAGAAGAAACCATCGAGAGAAGTGGCTACAAACGAGGAAAAGGAGGAAGACGAACAACAACTTAAACCTCCCAAAAGGCCCACGGTCAGGGCATTTAGGAGTAACACTAGAATTAGTTTTTAAGAAGTAATTAGTAGGATAATCACAGGACCTCGTCAGTCAGATGCTTGTCAAGGATTCTTCACAACGCCTGCCACTACACAAAAAGTACTTGAGCATCCATGGATCATTCAGAATGCAGATCCCTCTGGCGTCTATAAGTGATTAAAATTTGCAATGTTGTTATTGTTACACTAAAGTGAAAGGAACCTGTGATTTCAAATACCCTTATTCGGTCTGTTAAATAGATGGGCTGTATGAACATTTCACTTGCTAGCATGAAGAAGTGCATATGATTTGTTCAAAAAAATAAAAAAAAAAGTCACTTTGTAACTGAAATCTACTCAATTGAATTAACTAAGACGTTTAGTATTTCATGTGTTTGATTATCGAATTTCATTCAAGGAAGTCCTAAAACAAGGCAGTAAAACTCATCCACAAGCAATTGTCTGAGAGCTGTCTATCGATTGAGACATTTCTGTTGATCGTAACAGATTTTAGAGCAACAAAACTCAAATATCCTGAGTTTAAATTTTGACAATTACTTGAGATCAAGTCATGAGAGATTTATCCTCATCAATATCCTAGTCTTGACGTTAATGACCTTTGATCAAATTAAAGATGAGAATAATTAATATATACTAAATTGATCCAAACATTCTTCCCGTTAAAAAAGACAGCTAGGATACTCACATCCCGAGACTTCCATACAATTTCCACTGATTTTTATCGATAAAGTTTAAACTAACAAATCTAGTTTTTGCTCAAAACCCAGAAATTAGGCCCAACCCTATTATTCCTAACGGGACTTCTTGTTTGTACACTTTCATTGGACCATTTTTTTCCCCCACTACGGCTGATGATGGACTTGCATATTTATATAAAACTAAAAGAGCTAATCATACCCATCTTAGCTCGAGTTTATCATTTGTGTTGGTCTTTCTTGGAGCTTTTTCTTATTATCTTTCCTCCATGAGGTAGCAATAGTACAAGATGTAATTGGCCTTTTTTTTTTATTGGATTTTGTTCGGTTATTCTTAGTTGATTACCCATTTGAATTGTATAGCCTTTTTTCATTAGTGAATGAATTTTCTTGGGAGGCACTAGAAGTAAAAAACACTTTTTTCCCCCTCAAATTAGGTTCAAATAATATTTCCTATCTTGAATATTAAAGCCGCATGTATTTGTGTTATGTTGTGATCGTACAACAATTATGGTGAATAGTAAGGAATCAAACAATTAAGAAAGCAGGAGAAAATAACACACAGAGATTTACGTGGTTCGGCAATGTGTCTACATCCACGAGAGCGAGCGGCCGTTCTTTTCATTATTGAAGTAGGGTTACATCTTAAGTATTTATATAACCCTAATATGGACGTATTTACAAAAATACCCCTGTACCGTACCGCGGGGGTGTTGGCCCCGCACCCCCAACTAATCAGCGTCCCCTTTATATTAATCCCGCTCCGGCATCTGCCTCCTTGCCATTATGCACACAACAATATATGAGCCACACATACTCTAACAATCTCCACCTTGGCAAATATTCACCCCTTAGAAGAAAAAGAGGACATGTATTCGGGAACTCCACCGGGGACGCTGAGTTGAGGCATCTCCCATCTAGCAACTAGAGACATTAATCAAGTCCAAGCAGTGCTTGAACTTGTCTGTAGTAACAGGCTTTGTCAACATGTCTGCTGCATTCTCAGAAGTGTGAACTTTCTCAAGTAATAGCTCACCAGAAGAAACCAGTTCCCTGATCTTATGAAACCTCACATCTATATGTTTGGTCCTCGCATGATACACCTGGTTCTTTGCCAAATAAATGGCACTCTGACTGTCACAATGCAATTGAACTCCACCTTGCTGGGCACCCAGCTCCTTGACTAAACCTGTAAGCCACAAAGCCTCTTTGGCAGCCTCAGCTACTGCCATATATGACTCAGTAGTAGATAGTGCAATTATAGGCTGTACCATGGACTTCCAACAAATAGGTCTTCCCACAAGAGTAAACACATAGTCTGTCATCCAAGTCCCCTGCATAGTCTGCATCCACATATCCCATAACTGAAGGGTCACTCTGTTGTCTGCTAAACCTGATGCCATAGTCTGTAGTGCCCCTCAAGTATCTGAAAATTCACTTGACTGCATCCCAATGCTGTCGACCCGGATTTGAAAGAAACTTGCTAACCACGCTGACAGCTTGTGCCAAATCTGGTCTTGTACAAACCATAGCATACATCAAACACCCCACTGCACTAGCATATGAGACCTTTGACATGTCATGAACTTCATCATCTGTCTTCGGGCACTGAGCGGTAGACAATCTGAAATGATTCACCAAAGGTGTACTTACTGATTTTGCATAACTCATGCTGAACCTGTCCAACACCTTTTCAACATAGCTATGCTGAGATAGCCATAATCTCCTGGAAGCTCTGTCCCTGCGAATCTCCATCCCAAGAATCTTCTTGGCCGCACCCAAATCCTTCATGTCAAATTCTCTACTCAACAAAGTCTTCAACTTGTTGACCTCACTCATACTCTTGGCAGCAATCAACATATCATCCACATAAAGTAACAGAAAAATAAATGAATCATCATCAAGCCCTTTTACATAGACACAGCAATCATACTCACACCTTTTGTAGCCAATTCGGATCATGTAAGAGTCAAATCGTTTGTACCACTGCCTCGGAGACTGCTTCAGCCCATAAAGTGATTTCTTCAAATTACAGACCAAATGTTCCTCTCCAGGGAGACTGAACCCTTCTGGCTGTACCATGTAAATCCGTTCCTCCAAGTCGCCATGAAGGAAAGTTGTCTTTACATCCATCTGCTCCAACTGCATATCTGAATGTGCTACTAGTGCCAACACTGTCCTGATGGAAGTGTGTCTGACCACGGGGGAGAAGATCTCATCATAGTCAACCCCTTTTCTCTGTGAGTAACCCTTTGCTACTAGACGAGCCTTGAATTTTTCTCCCTCATTTTCTGATACTGCTTCTTTCTTCTTATACACCCATTTGCACCCTATTGCTCTCTTCCCCTCGGGAAGTTCCACCAACTCCCACGTCTGGTTCTTATGCAGAGACTCCATCTCCTCCACCATAGCACCCATCCATCTACTTTTCTCTTGGCTTTGTACTGCCTCCTGAAAAGTTGTAGGATCCCCGCTACTAGTAATAAGCGCATAAGAAACCAAATCTTCAAAACCATACCTGGTAGGTGGCTTGATATTGCGTTTGGGCCTGTCTGTGGCTATACTATGATGTTGTTGATCACCTGAGATAGAACGCTCTACATGCTGAGCATCCTCTTCTCTACCATGATTCTCTAGCTCCACCTGCACCACATGGTCATTAGTGCTACAGTTTTCTGGTACTTGTTTCTCTTCTTCCTGAGTACGCTGCAACATGGCTTTTTCATCAAAAACCACATCTCTACTGATCACCATCTTGTTTGCCTTCGGATCCCAGAGCTTGAAGCCTTTCACTCCTTTCTGATATCCCAGAAAGATACACTGTCTAGACTTCGCATCAAGCTTCGACCTCTCCTCACTAGAAACATGTACATAGGCTGGACATCCAAACACTCTCAAACCAGAGTAGTCTACCTCACTGCCTGTCCACATCTCCTCTGATACTTTCCCATCTAGTGCTGCCCTCGGTGATCTGTTAATCAAGAAACATGTCATATTCACTGCCTCTGCCCAGAAATTCTTTGCAAGCCCTGCATTCAACCTGAGACACCGAGCTTTCTCGGCTATCGTTCTGTTCATCCTTTCCGCTACACCATTTTGTTGTGGTGTCTTGCGGACTGTGAAGTGTCTCTTGATCCCATGCTGCTCACACAACTCCTGGAACTTTGAATCTGTGTACTCAGTACCATTATCTGACCTGAGGCATTTAATCTTCCTCCCTGTCTGGTTCTCTACTTCAGCTTTCCATAGCTTGAACTTGGCAAACGCTTCTGACTTGTGCCGCATGAAGTACACCCAGACCTTTCGTGAGTAATCATCAATGAAACTCACGAAATACATGTATCCTCCCCGTGATAGTACGCTAACTGGTCCCCAAACATCTGTATGGACATAGTCGAGAACCCCCTCTGTCTTGTGTGTGGCTGTCTTGAACTGCACCCTATTCTGTTTTCCAAGAACACAATATTTGCAAAAATTGAGCTTGCATGTCTTGACACCCTTCAATAGATTTTTCTTATGAAGCTCTATCATCCCACGCTCACTCATATGACCCAGCCGCATATGCCACAAAACTGTATTATCTGATTCAGACTCTACAGCAACAACTCCACCTACAATTGTAGTACCCAGCAGTTTGTAAATGTTTCCTACTACTTTCTGTCCCTTCATCACTGTCAGCATGCCTTTACTTACTTTCATTACTCCACTTATAGATTTGTAACTATAACCATTACAATCCAAAGTGTCCAATGAAATCAAATTCTTCCTTAGATCCGGTACATGTCTAACATCACACAACGTTCTAATCATACCATCAAACATCTTAATTCTAATATTTCCTATTCCAACAACTTTGCAAGATGCATCATTACCCATCAGAACAGAACTAGAATTTACTGACCTGTAGGTGTCAAACCAATCTTTTTGGGTGTCATGTGATAGGAACATGCTGAATCCATAATCAAAGAATCTGTTAAACGATCTGAACTAGATAAAACAGAAAGCATATCTCCGTCACCACTCTCTGAATCTTCTTCTTCCACTACGTTTGCAGACTTTGATGCACCCTCTTTGTTCTCTGAATCCCCTTTCTTTTTCTCTGGACAGTCCAGTTTAAAGTGCCCCTTTTTCCCGCACTTGTAACACGAAACAGAGACGTCCTTCTTCTTTTCCTCGACTTGGACTGGGCTTTATTGTTACCCGATCCATTCCGAGATTTGCTTCTTCCACGTTCTTGGTTACCTTTCACCACAAGCCCTTCACCTTGTGAAACCTCATCATTGACTTTCTTCTGCTGATGAAAACCTAACAGAGCACCTGTGACATCCTCCAATTCGAGGGTTTCTTTCCCCCACATCAGAGTTGTAACCAAATTCTCGTACGTAGGAGACGCCGGTAGGAAATTCAGCAACATCAGCGCCTTGTCTTCGTCTTCGAACTTCACATTAACTCGCTTCAGATCGCTGATGATCTGATTGAACACGTTGATGTGTTGGGTCAAATCTGAGCCCTCTGACATCTTAAGACCATATAGTTTCTGCTTAAGATAGAGCTTGTTCGTCAACGACTTGGACATATACCGACTTTCCAGTTTCAACCAAACTTCCGCCGGTGATTCCTCATCCATGACGTGATACATCACTTCATCAGCTAGACAAAGCCTAATAGTCGCCACAACCTTCGTTTCCAATTCTTTCCAATCCATGTCGTCCATTCCTGTCGGTTGTTTTCCGTATAATGCCTTCATCATGCCCTGCTACACTAACAGGTCCTTCACCCTCCTCTGCCATAATCCGAAATTCTCAATTCCGTCGAACTTCATGATGTTGAATTTTGTAGAGGAAATCCCAGACATCGTAGTCTAGCTCTGATATCGATTGTTGTGATCGTACAACAATTATGGTGAATAGTAAGAAATCAAACAATTAAGAAAGCAGGAGAAAATAATACACAGAGATTTACGTGGTTCGGCAATGTGCCTACATCCACGAGAGCGAGCGGCCGTTCTTTTCATTATTGAAGTAGGGTTACATCTTAAGTATTTATATAACCCTAATATGGACGTATTTACAAAAATACCTTTGTACCGTACCGTGGGGGCGTTGCCCCCGCACCCCCAACTAATCAGCTTCCCCTTTATGTAAATCCTGCTCCGACATCTGCTTCTTTGCCATTATGCACACAGGCAATATATGAGCCACACATACTCTAACATGTTCATTCTTTTTATCCACCCCCTATAATTTAAAAGAGGCCTAAAGGTAATATACAAGGGTTGTGTTGGGTTTTTTTGTGGAGTCTAGTTTGTGTGTGATCCGGATGATGACCCGACCTGAAAAATATTGCGTGATTTTTAATGAAAATTTTCTGAGGCTTAGTCCATGAAGCAAAGGCTTGAGAATTTTTGGACTTGTTTTGTAGCCCTGTGCGCAGGAGATATATAAGTTGTTATTCGGTGATTAGAGTTTTTTGGATTGATACTGTAAGGCCGCCGCTCTCTTCATATTCTTTCTTGAGAATAATGAAATCCCTACTGTGTCGTGGACATAGATAAATTACCAAACCACGTAAATTTTATGTTGTGTAATTGTTTAAGTTGCATTTTTATTGTTCTTTTCCTTAATTTCACTTTATTGTCATCGTTTGATCTCACAGATTGTCGTGATATGATGACTTACATGAGTGATCATATAACACTATGAATCTATGAAACAAGACATTACCGGTGGATGCTACATCCAGTATAACTTTGGCTGTGATACGCTCGACGTCTTCTTTAGCAATGGGGATGTTCAACCAAACTCGTGGTTGATCTCCACTCAATACTTGAAAGAAAAAAAAAACAGCTGTACAAAGATTCTAAGCCACAAGTTCAATTAATCAAAAACATATATTTATCCATAAAGTTATACAAATATCTCCACAGAGACTTTTCTTTACAATCACAAACTAAATAAATTTCAGGCCTTGACGATGAATCATAAAAACCATTAACGTTGTAGGCATGCTTTCTCACGAAGAGGGCATGCCTGCAGCCGGATGGATCTTCTTAAACATTTTCGAAAAGCAACTCTTTCGTTCAAGAGGAGTGACATAACCATAAGCTTCTTTCTGACCTTTTTCGGTCTCAAGTCTCTTCATCTTCTCCTTATAGAGCTTCTTCATCACATAAATTTCAGCAAGATCAGCACTAGCAGTCGACATAGCTCAGATCTCAGAACACAGTGATCGATATGGCAAAACCGAGTATTAATGGAAGTTAGATTAGATTATGATATGGTTGTGTACTTGTGTTGGAGAGGCCTAGATTGGGTTTATATAGATTTTGTGTAGGCTTGGCTAGCACGCAATGAATGACTTAAGAAGTTTCTGGATGTTCTCATTCATGATGGCTTCCAGGTTTCTTAACATGGACTCTTGTGGTCCATGTGTATGGATTCTAGAAACTATGACTTTTTCTCTTGGGGAGAAAGGAAGAAATTCTCAAAAAGCGTCTTCCAAGACGTGTTGGTGCACCGGCGCCGCTTTGGCGGCACTCACACTATGGTTTTGAATTTGGATCCTCTTTTTTCAATTATGTTGGCATGATCATTGATGGTGTAAAATACAATACTGAAAAAAATGATAGCGGAAGAGCTGCTACCTGCCGGAGTGAAAGTGAATGCACCAACTTATAGTGGTTCGTCCTCTTCAGATGTTATGTAAAAGAGACTCTTGTTTTTTATTTTTTCTGTATAGCTGGATGAAAAAGATCAGTACGATGTTCTTCGTTTGACGTATTGTCTAGACTTACATTTTTTCTAATTTTCATTTATATAATGAAGTATAAGATAATTTAAATCTTAAAAAATAAAAAAAATAACTTTAATTTTTTATAATTGAGATCATCTTAAAGTTATGTTTCTTTTAATTTTATGGTTGAAAATCATTATTAATTTTGTTTTCCCCGTACAAAATATTCCTGCACAATTCCGCGTGGGACACGCGTGACTGGACTCTAGTATTCTCTCATTGTAACTGCATGCTCATCCCTCTCTCTACCAAGCTAAGCTAATTAGTCTATGGGGATTGGCCCACCAAATTTACCGCAGATATGGGCAGTCACACGAAAGAGTAGCAACCTATAAAATAATTAGCCTGCCCCACCCATTGTGCGACATTTCGTAAAAATGAAGTATTAATTTGATGGAATCTTTTTTAATGATTAATTTATAAAGAATGGGTCGGTTAAAGGATATCAATTAAATGTAAACATTTAGAATTTCAGGTTGAGTTTGATACATGTAAATTTATATGTATAAAGCTGAACTTCATTTTTTTGTTGTTGCTAAATGATTTTGTTAAGATAGAATTGTGACGATGCAATTACCCAGTAAAAGCTCTTACACCTTTCAATAGCCTCAATACTTTTTTTTTGTTTTCAAATTTTTTTATCATAAAAAAAAAAAATTGTGTTTCTCAAAAGATTCTATATACAATAAAAATTAGCATGCAGTCAAAGTTTTCTCACAATTTTACTTTTAAACGAGTTACTTAGGACTCAAACTAATCTACCTCTGGCCGAGTTTTGATCCTAAGAGATGTTCTTCACACTCCTGAAATTAGAAATAATTTAGTTTCTGGTTATCTTTTAAATAAGGCTAGTTTCAAACAAATCATAAAATCTGATCAGTATGTTTTGACCAAGAATGGGTCGTTTGTTGGGAAAGGTTATGCTTGTGATGGTATATTTAAGCTGAATGTTGAAATGAATAAAACTACTTCTTCCGTTTACATTGTTTCTTGTGTGAATGTGTGGTATGCTCGTCTTTGTCACGTTAATAGCAAATATTTGAAAAATATGAGCCATATAGGTTTATTGCCTAAGTTACACAATAATTTTGAAAAATGTGAATATTGTAGTATGACAAAAATAACAAAACAACCACATATCAAAGTAGAAAGAAATTCTGAATTATTAGGATTGATACATACTGACATATGTGAATTTGAAGGAATTTTGACTCGTGGTGGAAAAAGATATTTTGTAACTTTCATTGATGATTTTTCAAAGTACACTTATGTTTATCTTGTGAAAAATAAAAGTGATGCTTTTGAAAAACTAACCATTTTTATTAAAGAAGTAGAAAATCGTTTTGATAAAAAAAATTAAACGATTTAGAAGTGATAGAGGTAGAGAGTATGAGTCACTTGGATTAATTGAACACATACAGTATTTAGGAATAGTTCATGAAACTACACCACCATACTCTCCTCAATCTAATGGTGTAGCTGAACGTAAAAATAAAACTTTGATCAATTTAACCAATGCTATGTTAACTAGTTCTAGTGCACCTAAAAATTTGTGGGGAGAAACAATCTTAACTGAAAATTATATTATGAATAGAGTTCCTCGTAAACAAAATCTAGTTACTCCTTATGAATTGTGGAGAAAAAGAAAGCTTAACTTGAATTACATTAGAGTATGGGGCTGTTTAGCTTATGTTAGGATGACTGATCCTAAAATTCCTAAATTAGGAATAAGAGCGACTAGATGTGTATTTATTGGATATGCACTAGCTAGCAAAGCAAATAGATTTTTAGACCTAGAGAATAATGTGGTAATTGAATTACTAGATGTTATATTTCATGAAGATAAATTCCCTTTTAAATATAAAAATAGTGGGGGTGATGATAATATGCCAAAGTCTAGTGATATTCCTAGTTCATTATTGATCGAAAATGTAGAACAAAAAGAACATGAACCTAGGAGGAGAACAAATTTTTGGTTCAGATTACATTGTTTATAATGTTGAAGGGGATCCAACCAAACTTACAAGAAGCCTCCGATTCAGACTTATGGAGAGAAGCTGTAAACGATGAATATGATTCACTCATAACAAACAAAACATGAATATTGGTAGATTTACCTCCTGGTTGTAAAACTATAAGGTGCAAATGGGTGTTAAAGAGAAAGCTCAAATCTGATGGAACGATAGATAATAAGGCGATATTGGTAGCTAAAAGTTTTAAACAAAAAAAAGATTTAGATTTTTTTGATACGTTTTCTCCTGTCTCTAGAATTACATCCATAAGATTGCTTATATCTATAGCTGCTATACATAATTTAGAAATACATCAAATGGATATAAAAATAATTTTTTTGAATGGTGATCTAGAGGAAGAAATTTATATGGACCAACTAGAAGAGTTTATTCAACAAGGTCATGAGAATAAAGTTTGTAAATTAACTCAATCTTTATATGGCCTTAAACAGACACCCAAACAATGGCACAAAAAATTTGATCAGTGTGTTTTAGCTAATGGGTTTAAGGCTAATGAGAATGACAAACGTATTTACTTAAATCTGAAAATGGTGAACATATTATTATTTGTTTATATGTTGATGATCTTTTGATATTTGACATTAACTTATATGTGATTGAGACTACCAATGCTTTACTAAACATAAATTTTGACATGAAAGACTTGGGTCAAGCAAATGTGATTCTTGGCATGAAAATCACAAAGAGTGTTGATGGAATTATGCTTGATCAATCTCATTACATAGAAATTTTTTGAAAAAATATAACTTTTTTGATTGTAAACCTGCTTGCACACCTTTTGATTTAAGCATTCATTTATTTCCAACAGAAAAAGAAAGTGATGTAAATAATCAAATAGAGTATGCAAGCATAATTGATAGTCTTAGATATGCCACTGATTGTACTAGATCTGATATTGCCTATGCGGTGGGTGTACTTGGTAGATTTACTAGTAGACCTAATATGGATCATTGGAATGCAATTTGTCGTCTTATGAGATATCTAAAAAGAACTATACATGTTGGTTTATTTTATAGGAATTATCCTGCTATACTTGAAGGTTACTGTAATGCAAATTCCATGTCCAGTACAAGTTATGTTTTTACTTTAGGTGGTGGAGCCATAAGTTGGAAATCAAAGAAGTAGCAAATTATTGCAAAGTCTACAATGGAAGCTGAATTGATTGCGCTAGCTTCAGCCAGTGAGGAAGTTGGGTGGCTTTGTTATTTATTATTTGATATACCTTTGTGGGCTAAACCAGTGTCACTTGTGTTAATTCATTGTGACAACAATGCCGCAATAGGTAGAGTACGTAATAAGTACTATAATGAAAAATCCAGATCTGTGAGAAGAAAGCACAGTACTGCGAGATCATACCTAAATAATGGTGCGATCAATATTGATTATGTGAGATTGACTGACAATCTTGCCGATCGATTAACAAAAGCTCTAGCTAGAGAAAAGATTTGGAGTACATCGAGGGGGATTGGACTCAAGCCCAAATCTGATTAAGTTACATATGAGGATACCCAACGTAGAGATTGGAGATCCCAAGAACTAGGTTAATGGGACAAACGAATCATAGAGTGACTTGATTTGTGAAACATGTACTAATAAAATTTATATCATTGTTCGAATTTTGTATTCATTGTCCATCCCTATGGTGTAAAATACATGTGATCTCGTAACGAAAATTTGGAGGATGAGATCAATATCTCTTAATGAGTTCTATAGCCCTTTTTTGGGTGGAATGTCTTAGTTACAAGAGCATCCTTGATAGACTCACCTATATAAGTGTGGAAGACGGGTCGCTTCCTATGAGAATTTGGGCTAATACTCTAGAGCACTCAAGAAACTGGGATAAAGCACAAGGCCGAAAATGCGATGGTTTTTTAAGCTTAGTTTTGGACACCTTGAATATCATGTGTGTGATATGGTTCTATGTACCCTAAAGTAGTCATCGTTTAAAGGCTAAGTCCACTTTGACTCTAGTACGGGAACATTGAAGCACTAAGTAAAGGTTTAAATGCATTGTCACTTTTGCAATGCATGATATTCTATTTATTGTCCGGTTACTTATATAATGCATCTTTTATTAAAATAAGTGGGGGATTGTTAGAATATTTTAACAAAAAGAGTATTTTTTATGTGGAAACTCAATCTCATATCGACTAAATATCCCAAGATACTTGAATATATATATGTACTAATGTTATCTAACATTTGAATCAAAGAGAGGTATTGGGACTCTCACGTGCACAGAGGTAGGACTAGCGGAGGAGATACAAATTTTTAAAATCTACGAACCACACTGGTGTGCTTAGTCCACGACCTGGGTAGTGGGTCCATATTTTGAGTTATTATCCAATTAAGTATAGAAGTAATTGCAGATTATTAAACATATATATTATATATATAACTGGTGTGCCTAGTCCACAACCTGGATAGTGGGTTCCCCTGGCTCGCCTAAATAAAATATTAACTAGTATTAAATTAACTTTTTAATAATTTGTTTAATTATTTTTTGTCATTACTTCTATAATAAAATTTCAGTTGCTGAATACCACTGGTGTGCCTAGTCCACGACCTGGGTAGTGGGTCCATATTTTGAGTTATTATCCAATTAAGTATAAAAGTAATTACAGATTATTAAACATATATATTATATATATAACTGGTGTGCCTAGTCCACGACCTGGATAGTGGGTCCCCTTGGCTCGCCTAAATAAAATATTAACTAGTATTAAACTTACTTTTTAATAATTTGTTTAATTATTTTTTTGTCATTACTTCTATAATAAAATTTCAGTTGCTGAATACCAAAAACCTCCAACGACTAGTATTCCAACAATCATATTTTGAGTTATTATCCAATTAAGTATAGAAATAATTATAGACTATTAAACATATATATATATATATATATATATACAATCTGATATCAACTATCTTCTTATTGTATAAGTTTCTAGATAATATTTAAAGGTGTGTGTGAAGCTTCTGCTTTAATTGATTGTACATATCTTAGTGAAACAACAGTTAATAGGCTGGGCTGTTGTATCCTGGAGACGATGCGCTACTATCTTCTGTACTATGATTCTTTCATAAAAGGGCGTGAATCGTCTTAAAAGAGCGACGTAGTCCGCGTTTCACCTTATGGTTCACTTTATTTACATTTAATTTTTTCCAACATACAATGATTCATTCATGACCCCAACACTAGTAGTTACATACAGCTGAAAACCCAGATGTGACTAGCCCTAGTTGGCTTTTGTAAACACCGCTTCCCCGGCAGAATCCGACGAGGTTATGCCTGCTGGATGGATCTTCTTAAACATCATCGAAAAACAACCACCTGAAGTGCTCTTACGTCCATGATGAGGACTGTCATAAGCTTCTTTCTGAGCATTTTCAGTCTCCATTCTCTTCATCTTATCCTTATAGAGCTTCTTCATCACGTGAACCTCTGCAAGGGCAGCACTAGTCGTCGACATAGATCTGAACTCAGAACACATAGATATATCAAACCCGAGTATTTTTGGAAGTTGGAACATGTTATAACGATGGGATTGGAGAGTGGAGAGAGGCCTAGATGGGGTTTACATAGATTTTTTTGGTGAAGGCTTGGCTAGCACATAACGATGACTTAATTAAAATTTCTGTCTGGTGTCGTTCCTTTTTCCTTTTAAAAAGTGGTGGCTCTTTGTAGCATTACTCATACTGTATTTGTCTTGGGGATGAAGTAAAATTTGATTAGTCCTCTTCTGTGGTTCGTTTGTGTGGATTCCAAAGACTGCTGACTTTTTTTTTTCTCGGGGATAAAGGAAGTTATTCTTCTAAAACGTCAGCCAAGACGTGGTGGTGCTCTGGCCCCATTCTTTTTATAATATCTTTGGCGGCTTTCACAATTGTGTGGTTTTAGATTTGGCTCTCTCAATTTCGAATTCTATCGATTATTGTGAAATTGGCTCAGATGAGGGTGTGTTTTGATGGAGAGGTAAGATTATTTTATTTTGATTTGTAAAAGTTTGAGTCTCGAAAATAATTTTTATGCATATAAAAGTAAAGTTACGTATATTTAATCTTTTCTAAATCTTATAATGACTTAAATCTTATACATGGCCCTTGTGCATAATTCTTCAACTGTACTAAATGGCCTAGAAATTGAGGCATGCTAGAAACATGACTTCTGTAAAAGAACTAAAACATAATTCTAACTCGCTTGCAAATCTCTATTTGATTATCAAATCTCACAACAGTTTTCATCCCAAAGTAGGTCAGATACATCGGTTTTCATCTCTATTTGGACTATTTTTTACAGGATTATTGGAAACCTGCTAGAGTTCATAGATTTAACGGTTAATGATTAAACATAAATGAAATTGATAATATTTTATATTTATAAAAGTTTAATTTTTTCATTTCGTACTTAAAGTCAATATTATGAATTTTTTGATGGAATTAATGAAAATCTACTGGAACCCATTAAATTTGATGAGTAATGATTAAATCCAACTGAAATGGATAATATTTTGAGATTTGAAAATTTTGGATCTCGTGATTTCATGCTTGAGTCAAAATTGTGGCTATCATTTTGTGTAGTGACAGAGACAAAAGATTTGAACTTGGGTTATCCAAGTTATCACTAATAACGCCTTACTACCGGGATAGAATCACTATACTTAAAAAAAAAATATTTTTGAATAGGGCCTCCAATCAATGGATGAAGTTAGAAACATTCATCGACTTTTGGTTGGATTAATTTGAACCAGTTCAAAGTCAACCTTGAAATTAGGATTCTTCCAGTTTGGGATGCTGGCAATACCTTGGCCACCCCTTTAATAGTCTTTGAACTGATTTTAACTTCTGGGCATTCTGTTTTTGCCTTCTTCACTTTGTTAGTGCTTAGAAAAAGATGCTTTACCAGTAAAATTTTCGAGTTTTTAACGAAAAGAGCTATATGGTAAGTAGTTTTATTTTTATTTAGGTGAGATTAATTCTCGAATTCAAGTCTGTTACTTTTGCTTCAACGGAAAGGGCAGCTATTATGAATTTCTGTTATGATTCCTTACATTGGGGATCATAAAATATATATGGCTTACCCAAAAAACTATGAATACACTAGACATTTGCCCTCCCCCTCCCCCCCACCCCCAAAACCAAGAGAGAGAGAGAGAGAGAGAGATGAAGAAAGATTCTAAACCACAAGATCAATGAATCAAAAAATATATTAATCCATAAAGTAATTGTACAAATATCTCAGCAAAGACTTATTCTTAACAATTACAATGAATCATGACACCATTAGCTTAGGATGTCTTTCTCTACATTACAATTAGAGTTGCATACAGCAGAAAACCCGAAATGATCACCCCTTGTTAACCTTAGCCAATACAGCTCCCATGGAGGAATCCGACGAGGGCATGGCTGCCGGGTGAATTTTCTTGAACACCGTTGAAAAGAAACCACCACCCGAATTGCTCTTACGTCCATGATCAGGACTGGCATAATTTTTTTTCTGAGCTTCTTCATTCTCCATTCTCTTCATCTTCTCCTTATAGAGCTTTTTCGTCACGTAGACTTCTGCAAGACCAGCACTAGCCGTCGACATAGCTCAGAACTCAAAACACACCGATATAGCTAAAACCCCGATTTGTAGAATTGGATTTATCTAATGAAGAATAGGTTGGAGAGGCCATGAATGATGTGGTATTTATAGATTTTCCATAGGATTGAATAGCACGCAATGGATGACTTAAGAAGTTTCTTGATGATCTCTTTCGTGGTGGCTTCAAGGTTTGAAAACAATGGAGATAAAGTAAGGGGAACTAAAAAAAGCAAAATTTGATTACGTGTTCTTGTGGTCCAACATGTGTAGGATGCTAAAGACTTTATGACTTTTTTCTTGGAGAGAAAGGAAAAAATTCTAAGAAAATGTCAGCGAACATCGGGGGCGGCTCAAAGTATTTTGAGCGCTAAAGCGATAATATGAATGAAATTTTTTATTTTTAATATTAAATTTTTATTAAATATTAATTAAATATTAATTTATTTATTATATGTGTGTGTGATAGAGAAAAAATCAGTGTTATCGATAAAAATGTTTTAATTTTTATTTTTATTTTTTACCAGAATAGAGTAAATGTGAGGTAAATATAACTTGACTTTAGAGTAACTTTTCTATACATTTATTTATTTTTTCTTGTAACTATTGATTTTTGATTTTATAATATTATAGGTTAAATCATGAGCCCAAATTATTGAAATTAAAAATTTTGATTGAACTTAAATTTTTTGAGGCCTTTTTATAGGATTTAAAATTTTTGTAAAATTAAAATTTTGATGTGGGTTAATTATATAATTTAAATTGTGGGGCCATAGCTTTGGCGGCACTCACATTGGCGTTTTGGATTTGGATCCTCCTAATTTGAAATATCAATGCTACTGATTTATTAACCTAATTTAGTTATTGAGTTTATCGTGGGTCTTATCAAATATTAAAATTTAATGTTAATTCAACAGTTATAATAAAATCACATCATTAAATTAATAGATTAGATCAAGTCTTTCAATGGACAGGACTTGAGTTTGAATTCAAATTTGTTTAATTGGATATAGACCAATATTTTTTCGTCCATTTATCTGAATTCAATCTAAATTCATTTAGATATTTTAAATTGGATATGAATATGAATATATATAAATATAATTTAATAAAAATTCGTTGAATCAACAAAGAGCTTATTTGACTCTCCCTTAACAATTTTTTTTTTTTTTTGATTCACTCTCTCTTAACAATCACATGTACACATCAACATTCATGGTAAAATGTTCACCCAAACACACACATATACGTATCTCCCATATACCAACCAATAATATTACGAACCATAGAGCCATGAGTTCTATGGCCATAATTTTGAATACGTAAATTATTAAGGTAATAATTATCAAATTATTGATAACAGATATAGTATTATGTGTGAATATGTCATTGTTCATATCTTATTGTGGATGTTACTGTATACGCCATTATATATTGGAAGAACGATTTTGTAATTAAAATTTTCAAAAAAATAACAATTTGAAACCAAACACCTCGTATATTGCAAATAAATGTCTTTTAAAGCCTTAACACATCATGGAATTACACTGGTCCGTAATTTTCCCATTTGAAAAACAGGTCGAATTTGTAGGTTAGGCAACCGGTAAAACTTTGTCGCACACCTCCTGCAGCCGGACTTGTTGACCCGCCATCGGTCCATGGGCCACTGACTGGCGGGCAGGGTACGACGGTTTAAGTGTTAAAAAGTGTACCAGTTTCTAAAAAAACCCAATAGAAAATCCAAAGCCACCACCTGTTTTTTCTGCTGCAGTACATCAACCTCCTGAATAAGCATCGTTAATCTTGCAACTGGAAGAATAGAAGACATTAGGACATTTTTATTTGAGAAAACTAGAGGCTTTTCAGTCTTCTAGAAGCTTCTAATATACATTCTGTGTGTCCAAACGCGCTAACTCTAATAAACTCTTCACCTCCTGGACCAAATCCTATGCCAGGAACAGTTAATATGTGTGCTCTTTCAAGAATCTCAGCAAATACATCCCATGAGCTTGAGCCCGGAAAATGAACCCATATATATGGTGCATTTTTACCTCCATATACCTTCAATCCAAGCGACTCAAATGCTTCGCGAATTATTTTGGCATTCTTCATATAGTAGCCAACCACAGAATTTAAGGCCTGAAGAAAGACAATTGATGATAAGAGTTAGAGAAAAGTTCATGGCAGAAATTGATTTATGTTGTTGCAAAACTGTGATCAAAAACCACTTTAAACTACTAACCCACCAGGGTAGTTTGGATGGGAACTGGGAAGGTCCTAGATTACTACTTGTATTCCCAATTTCTATTATAGTCACGACTTTATAAGACACGTGGTTGAGATGCTAGAATCATAATCGTCAGGAATATATAGTTGGCACTCTAATATATATATGAATTTTCATTATGGAAGTGTTTCAAAACCAACTGTCACAGTGATGAATTTTTAAATGTTAGCTCAAAACCATGTTTTTGAATAGATAAATAAAAGCTAACCATGTAACCCTGCAAGGAAAGGCATGCTAGCCCACCAGCCTGAGCAATGCTGGATGCGCCATTGAAACAGGTGCACGCCAAACGGTTAAAATCCATAATGACAGGAAATCCATTTGAATATTTTAGCTCTTTGGGGACCGCAGTCCAACCAAGGCGAATGCCTGTGAATCCAGCAAATTTGGAGAATGATGAAACTTCAATTGCAACCTGCATGAACCAAAACCATCTTACATCGTTCTTCATTCAAAACAGCAAAAAAATAGCTTACATTATATAAGGCAGTGACATACTTCTTTGGCACCGGGAATTTCAAAGATTGATTTTGGGCATCCATCTGTGATATAAGCAGCATATGCAGAGTCATAAACAATCATGGATCCATTTGCCTTCGCAAACTCCACTAGTTGCTTCAGTTGCAGCCTTGTTGCAGCATTACCAGTCGGGTTGTTTGGCGAGCAGAAAAAAATAACATCTGTCCTTGGCATTTTTGATAAGTCAGGAAAAAAGTTGTTTTCTGGTCGACAATTCATGTACACAATTCCTCCATACTTCCCAGTTTCATCATGGAACTTCCCTGCTTGACCAATTATAACACTTGTATCTACATATGCCTGTTTTAACAGAGCATGTTTCAAAAATACAGTGGTAAGAAACTCTGAATCAAACATTTTTCCCAGTAACTGATGTTTGCTTAAAGAAACTAGTACGAGATGCAAGGTTCATTGGGTCTGGATTTCCAGTAGGAATGATCTGGATCATGCTGAACTAATTGTGTTACACGAATTTTAACCCCAAAACAGAATTTCTTGAAAACAGATTAGCATGAGAATCTTAATTAAACTTCCTCAACAGACAGTATTGGTTGACCATGACTTCCTCCCATCTTTCTGAAAAAAGAAGCTCAGCAGAATTTAAAAGAAGAGTTGGTCTTGTCCAAAGAAACAGAGGCTAACTTACAGGAAAGGATGGGTCCTGCACAGCCACTGACAAATTGGATCCAAGAAGCATCTGTCAAGGGCGAAAATGTATATCAGGACTTGTACACTTCTCTTTACACTAAAAGAAGGAAAAAAGAGCAAGTGAACCTACTTATTCAGGAACAAATCCTGTGAATACTTAAACGGCTATATTTCTTTAATTGGATATGTATGCATTGGATGTCTTCCTAATTATATGCTGAAGGTAAAATTACCTGAAGGCGTGAGATGTCACATTGCGCACCATCAGATACAAAAATCTCGTCCCCTTTCACGCCCACATCTCTGTAGAATCTGTGTGCAATTGCCTGCCTTAATTCCTGTGACATGAAACATGGTTTGTCAAAGTACTGGACTACAAACAGAAAACTGTTTTGAATATAACATTCTATAAAGCATTAACCATGGAATAGGAGAAATGGATTTGAGGATCCTTAGAAAAGGCATGAGTGTATCGTTTCCTCCACATGATTTTCAGTATCTGATATGCATCTTAAAACTGTTCACAGGTACCGACGGCCTTTGGTTTAATGGTACTCTTTACCTTATGAAAGTTTTGCCTTTTTGAGGTTAAGGGCTCAAATTCCCCCTCCCCCTCCCCCAAAAAAAAAAAAAATAAATAAATAAAATTGTTCACAGGTCGCCATACCAAATCTTAGAATAAAAGGGGCAATATGGTATTGGTAGCTAGTCGCACAAATGACAAATTAAGAAGATTTAAGGAGAAATCAAGATGTAAAAAATATCAAAGAAGAAGTGCACTTATAATTTAACAAGATCCACTTCACCTTGTTGCCTTGTTCAGCTCCGTATCCTCTATAACCACTTACTGTCGACAGACCACGTGCATACTGCACAACAGGGACAGTAGCAACAATATTTATGATCCATTAAATACAATGGGAGGGACAAAAAATTTGAGAAGGAAATGAATGAACAAGTTTTAAATAGCTAGTTTTCCTTCAGCACCAGCACTCCCACGCTATAGGTTTGAGTAATGCAATTGTGAGTATGGGTGATTAGGTATAATGTTGTATTCCGTGGAAATGTTCCAATTCAACATGATAGGGATGCTGGTACATGGTTGCATCTGTGAAAAACAATACTACAGGTATCTCTTCGAGATATTTTGTGATTCTCCTAGAAGTCTCTAATTTTCCAAATCACAAGAGCATTGTTGCTTTCTTATCTAAGCAGATACATATGCTAGCATGGAATTCATCCCCATGACAGCAAATCCAACCACGTTAAATGATCAGACATGTAACACATGGTGACCCGATTGGGTTAAAGCATCAGGTCTAGATACTAAATAAAATAATCATTGGTATGTCAGAAAATTTTCTTACATTCTAACATATGATTCTGTGCAAGTTCTCAGAAAATTTAAGAACTGTATCACCTAATTGTTTAAATATGCAAGAATGAGTAAGAATTCGATCAACTGCTGGCCCAATGAAACCATTCTACTGATTTAAACAGCATCACTTGACCAGAGTCGTCTGAATTGACTAATCTTGCCCTTGTAGCAATTGTTCTTCAGAATGTTCACAACACCACCACATTGCTGTAACTCAGTATCATGATGGGAATTTTAACTTCATTGCACTAACAGAAGCTATTTGGCAACTTATTTTGCAGGTACATATATATTGCATTGTTCAATCTGTGGGGGCTGTATAAATAAACCACGAGGCTGACCTCCTACTATCATCTCTTCTGTCCCACGTATTGGATTGGAATGGATACTAACCATTTGAGACTCTGAGAATTAGTTAAGACTAAAATGATCCACAAAAGCAAGTGAAGAAAGAGGCATAAAAACCTTTCAAGAAACGACAATGCAGCAGTTTCTGTCCAAAATGGAGTTACAAATTACCTCAGCCATAGCTGATGTTATGATGTCTGGTATAGGTTCTGTCGTGTCACCAATTCCGAGTCTTATTATCTTCTCTTCTGGATACTTCTGAGTGTGTTCAAACTCACGCAAGGATATCTGGTTTAACGGGCCACTGGATAAGATAAGAGTTGCTTATAAAATGCAGTAACTTTATATTTGACTGACTCTATGCAAACCATCATAATATAATTCAGACCATTGAATTCAAGTAAATTTTTGAAGAAAAGTACAATAGACCCTATCTTAAATTTTGGTCTGGTATCATCATCATAATAACATCTATCCCAATCCAGGAAGATCATCAACTTAATAGCAGGTGAAATCTGAAAACAGTAAATTAGAAACCATTATCTGCAGGACACTAATGCTGGAAAATTTTGGCAGACACCGACCTCAGGAAACAAGTATCCATTTCGCAGGTTCTCCATATTGACATTGCGGGGTACATTAGTGCAATAACCTGAGATCGCAACGCATGTTAATATTGCTCAGAGTCATAGGAAAAGTACATTGTCTGTGGTAACTGCAAAACTGATCATATAGGTGAAATAATACTTTTTCTATAGCTAAAGTTTTCTTGTCCTCCAATTAACCTATGAATGGTCAGTATCTATTTACAACAGCAAGTCCTGCGTCATTCAAAAAGGTCCCTATATCATTTAAATTAAAAAACTATAGTATGCAAGGTAATTCCGGACCACTCAAAGGTAATTCCTCCTACTATTCCCTAATCAGTGAAATTTAAATGCTCAGTGCATATACATACCGGTTCTCCTCTCGTTGAGGCATTTTGAACTGTAAGAGACCTCATAAACATGAATGGAATTGAATCAGTGCCATAAATATACAGAGGAAGAATAACTGCTTCAAAGTGAAAAATTATCCATAAAACAGTAATGTGAAAGTTTTCACTAGTACCGTGTCTGATGCAAACTGGGTTGCAAAGAAGTAGCATAAGGTATACAGATGCCTGAGAAAGATGGAACACAATGCATCATTAATCCAACAATTTGGCTGTTGTAACATCAAAAAGGCATACAGTATTCTCAGTCCAGAGGTACACTGGGAATTCAAGTGATACTAACTGCATTGCCAACAATCAATATATATACCCAAGCATGGAGTTCTAATCCTGAGCACGCCACTGTGTTCTAAAAACAATGTGCCTTTCAGAAGTGAGATCTCTTCCACTTTCAAAGCAAATTGCTAACTGAATCTTCGGCGATGGTTCCTGGAAGCAAGAGAAATTCCAGCTGCACATCCATTCCCTCCAAGGTACTGTCTTTTCTTCTCTTTTTTTTTTCTTCCCTTTTTATTTTTCCTATTCTTTTTCTTTTTGATAAAAGTTTTTGGATTACGACATTCCTGGACTCTTGCCACTAATCAGCTATTAATTGACTTCATGGATTTTTTTTTTGTTAGATTATTTTGTCATGGTGCTTTCCCTGAAACTACCACCTTTGTCGAGTCCTTAAAAACCTCCACAAAAAGGAGTCCTCCAGTTTTTCAAGTGTTGCATTGTGTAGATAGCTGAACAACTACTGAAAGCTACAAGCGTCATGATTCACAAAGTTACTTAGAGTTATTTCGCTAATTCGTGGTTTAAAAAAATTTAATCCCCATATCCATGCACATTTGAACTTATTTTCTCATGCGTAAGTTGTGTAAGTTAAGCGTGATTTTAAGAAACCACAACAATTCAGAAAATAAGTTTAGAAATGCATTAGATCCGAGAAAAGGCTTCCCTAACCACAAGGGTCAGAGAAAGAACTCAATTTTGTGGCCTCATCCTTTTGGAGGCTTGATTCTTTGCACAACATGAACCATCATTTGCACCACCCATGTGGCTGCTAGCCACTGAGAGAATTTAAACATAAGTTCCACGTTTCACTTGCCTAGTTAGCTATAGAGTATAGTACATTGCAATTTCAGTTGCCCTCAAACTGGAATTTTTAGTCATCTTTCTAGAGAGCAGACATAAGAAAATGACAAGTACCTATCCATACAAGCAATATATTGTTGCGTGTTCAATTCAGGAATCAATCCTTCAATAAAACTACCTACCACGTATCTTTCCTAGAGCTCGCCATAGTTTGGAACCTTATGCACCAACTACGACCGTTTAGCCTCTCATTCTAAGAAACTTCATCAAAAGAAAGTAAGATGGTATTGTGATATATAGGGTACAATATCAAAGACAATTGAATTTCCAATGAAACAGTCCTTTCTCCACCATTAGTCCAACATTTTTTTTCCGCAAGCAATGCCTTCTTATCCTGTCTTACTATGGAATTCTTCCCAAGCTGGACTTTGAAATGTATAAGCTCACTAATTTTCCACAAAAAGATAAGTAGAAAACACTGTTTGAAGTTATCTGAAAAGTGTAGTGATAATGATCCACGAACAACGGAGGAAGTTGCATCTTGACATTGATGTCTCATGCATGTTGTTGTTGATCACAAGCAGAACCAGTTGATATTCTTACATTTCATTGAAAAGGCACATTGCACTTTGCATCCTCGAACTCTTATCTCCATCTTAATTTACCCCCTCGTTTTACAATCGGGTTTTTTCATACTACTCGCATCGGTTTCATATTGGCGTAATTAGGTTCGGAGACAAATTGAAGTAAAATCATACAGTTGGGGCCAAATCGACTCAGGTTTACACCAAATTCGTAAAGGGTGTCTCAATTAGGGTAATGTAGAACTAATACACACAACTGGACGTGCAATATGAAATAAGAATATAGTTGAATGATAATGTGAGACAAGGATAAAGTTGAGGGGTCAAAGTTTAATTTGGCCAAGTGTAAAGGTCAAGATTGAGGAAGAAAAAGAAAATACTCTTGACTAGATTGTGATTTTAGTGTCTTATTTCTCAGGCGGCAATTGCCAAATCCAAAAGAAAGAGGAGAAATATTTGATGTTTGGTAGCCGACGAACAGGCCAAAACCTCTAATAAGACCCCTTTAACAGAAAATATTAAAAACCAGAGAGAGAGACCGGGGGGGGGGGGAAGGGGGGCTTAACCTTAAAGTGGAAGTGGGGGAGAAAATGGCAGAGGATTGAAATCCTTGTCCTTGAGGTCCATGTATTTTCTCGATAGGCATGGGTGAGGTCCAGTGACTGCTCCCTCCATATCCAACTCACCCGATCCATCCTTGCAGACCACCCACCCACTTGAATGCAACCACCACCACTATGCCTTATCCTCATTTTACAGGAGAAGACAGAAGAATTGAATTGGCCGCTGATCCGATAAAATCGGGTGTGGCGAAAAAAAAGAATTCGTGCAGGATTTCACTGGCTCGCCGGGGAGAAAATATTCGTCAATGGTGATACCACGTGCCAATGTATTGTGATATCACTAATCAATAATAATATTAAGACAAATAATTAAATGAACACACAAATTTATAACCATTCTGCCATTTAAGCAAACTAGTTTAATTCGTACCTAAAGACATGGTGTAGTATAAATGGTTTTGACATATATGTTGATTATCGTTCGATAAATTTATTTGACACGTCAAATAGATTTATTAAACCTATTCTGTTTTATTTTAGTGCAATATTATCTGCACAAAAACTTGTACTAATTCACTTGCAGTTGTTGGATCAGTGGATTCTATTACTAATTTAATGACTACAGTTGATTTGGTATAAATTTTGGTGCACAAATTTAGTATACATAGAATTATCTTTTATATATAGATAACTCTCTACTCTTTCTCCATATAAGCCAAAGTGTGGTAAATCTTACCCACTTAAAATTTTATTATTGATTGGTAGTACCATGTCATCAATAGTGAGATAACATCACCATTACATTAAATATTTACTCCTCACAATGGGTGGCCCAATGTAATTTGGAGTTTAAGTTGAAAATTTTGGATAAGGCCATAATAAGTATATTATTATGTAATTATCCGGTTAAAATTTTTATTTTTATTTGTTGACTAGGTGTATGATGGAATACAATATTAAAACTTCTTGTTGTATTGGGTTAGTTTTTAAACTTATATTATTTTTGGGAGTCATTCTTTTTTTATTTCGAGAATAAATACTGCAAGTTGTATTTAGATCTTCAAAGTGATCAATTGTCATTTTATATAAATACAAGTCCAATGAAAATTTATAAATGGGTTATTGCTTGATCCCAAAAAGATACACCCAAGTGCTGGTGATTAAAAAATAATAATTTTTCGATAAATCTAAAGTCGAGTCATAGAGATTGAAAAAATGTAAAAGTAGGTAAAGAAAGAATAGGTAAAATTAATTTTAAAGGTTGAGATTAGTTTGTAGAATAAAATAGAAAATTCTACAAGAAATTTGTTAATTGAAAAAAATGACTCTTTAGTTTTTAGGATCTGGATCTATTCAGGTTCATCAAATAAATATGTTGATGTAATTACAATTATCTCAGTTGATTTATAACGTAAATGTGGTCAATCAAAATATTTAACTTTAAAAACACAAGATTTGATTAATTAAAAAATAAGAATTGAAGAACCGGTTTCATGAAACTCATAGGAAATCATAAGCATTATTCATACAAGAACTCAATCAAATTAATGAATAATCAAATAATTTTATAGAGTATAAAGGTATACTAATAATCATTTAATCAATCTATGATTTCAGAAAAATATAACTTTAAAGTATAAGGAAAATAATTACATAAAATATAAATATTTAATTCACAATTATAGATCCATATCATAACTAAAAAGTACAAAAAAGATTAATTGTAAGATACGGTAGATCTCCAAAACAAAAAATAAAGATGCTCTATCAATAGGTGAGACCTTTTATTTATACTAAAGTCTAGGTATAGATAGGAGGTTTAAGATTGGCTTGAGATCAATCATTTTTTAAAAATGAGTTTTTTTTGGTTAAATTTCTCGTATTAAATCTTGGGGTGCAGGGATCATATTTGTCCATATTTAGAACTAAATTTTTGTAAAGTTAGAGGCCGATTTTATGTGATTTTTATGAAATTCACTTTTGTAACTCTTGAAGTCTTCTTTTCAATGCTGCAAAAATTAGGTTAATCGGACCTTGGGATAAAAACTTATGACTAAAATACTATAGATGTGTCAAAATTTTATCTTCTATAATACTTTCTTAATTCAATTCTAAATGCATTTTATATCATTTTGTACTCGATTAAATTGTTTTTTTATTTTCAAATCTTTATCTTTTAATATTGACCATTCAATCTTTCAAATATCCCGTTGTTCTAATATTTGCTTAATTTTTCTTGTCTATTATTACTTTAAATTAAGTAAATTACCTGTAAAATAAAATCAAACAATTAGAACAAGTATCAAGATAAAAAATAAAAAAAATCTAATATATTTAATTTCAAATAATATACAATTAACCAATCATCAAATATAGTAAAATATCACTTTTAATGATTAATTAGTTATATACTTATATTTACAGATGCACATATTAACTAGCTAATATATATACACACACACATGAGCGTGCACACACAAACACACTCATTGATATCACAATCCAAGTTGTGACTGTTTAAGTCCTTCCCGGTGCATGACAATAGCGTGGAAATCATAAATAGTAATAAAATTGTATAAGACAACAAAAAGATTTGAGGTAGCAGTATAAACAGTGGCACCAGTGCCAATATTCTATAAAAAAGAATTATAATTTACGTAAGCCATAATCAAGTCGCAAATTAATGAAGCCAACTTCCAAAGTAATAAACTATGCTGGAACAAATTTCAAGCAAAATAGTCTGGAGTAGACCGCTCTCTC